GTACATCCATCCCCTAATATGCCCCCTCGTACATCCATCCCTTCATATCTCCCCTCGTACATCCATCCCCTAATATGCCCCCTCGTACATCCATCCCTTCATATCTCCCCTCGTACATTCCCTCATGGCCCCCCTCATGCATACATCTTCTTCTCATATCTCCTCTCATAATTCTCCTCATACATCCAATCATGCTCTCTCATCCCTCAGCCTCCTCATCTACACTCGTTAGCCGATACTGACACGTCACTGAGCTCGCGTCTCTCTCTCTCATCCGCGCGCAGAGCTGCCGTTCGACCTACCAAAGATCCACTTCATATTCCCACATATCTCCATATACATCACCTCATACATACATTCTCTCATTTGTCACTCATCAATCCCCCTCATACATCCTCTCTCCCTCACGCGCAGAGAGCTGCCGTTCGATCTTCCCAAGATCCACTTCATATCTCATATGTTTGCTCATACATACATCTCTCTCTCTCTCTCTCTCTCTCTCTCTCTCTCTCGCGCGCGCAGAGCTGCCGTTCGATCTTCCCAAGATCCACTTCATCAAGCGCAGCCGGGTGGACCTGGACGCGGCAGACGCGCGCGGGTGGACCGTCGTCCACCACCTCGTCAAGCCGCTCGACGTCGGCACCTTCGAGAACATGGAGGCGCTGTGCCTGCTGCAGCACTGCGGGGCGCCTATCGGCAAGGCCGACGACGCGGGCCGCACGCCCCTGCGGTGCGCGTTGGAGGTCGGCACGCAGTGTCTGTCCGACGCGCTGCAGATGCTGCTCAAGCGCGAGCGCAAGGAGTGGGTGAGTGCGATTGCGAGACCGTTCTATTGTTTTCCGGGTTGGGCATCCGAGCGCGACCTGGTCATCACTTTCCCCTCACGCGTGACTTTGGTGCTTTGTGCACTTTTTGCAGTGTTTGCAGAACGTTTTTGCAGTCTTTTAGCTTTTATGCTCCTGTGCATTCTCATAATCTCATAGTCTCTCTGAGTTTTCGCTTTTCCCCCCACTCATAATTTTGGTGCGTTGTGCACTTACAAACATTTGTGCAGACTTCTAGTTTTCATGCTCCCGTTCATTCGCATAATCTCATAGTTTCTCGAAGTACTTTAGTGTGTTGTGCACTTGAAAACGTTTTGTGCATTTGATCTGGTTTTTACGCTCCTGTGCGTTCCCACAGTCTCACAGCCTCTGATTCTCGCCCTTGCACACACAGGCGACGACGAAGTTGACGCAGGTGGAAGCGTCGGACGGCATCGACTGGGGCGCGGACTCTGCGCCCGACTACGAGAAAGATTACGAGGCAGCGCTGGCCCTGCAGGCGCAGACTGTCATGGAGGTGGACAGCGCGGAGAAGGAGGGGCCGGAGCTGCCGGATAAAGCATCAGACATGAGCAAGACGGGGTGAGAGATTTTCATGCGAGGTTTAGGCATCTTTGTTGTAACGATAGGGGTGTGGGTGTGGGGCGGTGGGGTTAGGGAGGGGGTCTTTACAGTGAATTGTTCAGGAAGATTGTCTAAATTTCTTATTAAAAATAATGTGCCACTGAGAGTATGTTGAGACTAATATGGCTCTCTTATTGTATAAATTTAATTATTTAGATCTCAAAAAATTATGAATTGATTATTAAAAATCTTTATCATTATCAAAATTATTTAATGAATCTCGATATACTCTTGATGATTTGATCCACGATTAATTGGATGTGAACAGAAAAAAGTGATAGCTCTACTGCCACCATCCCACTAATCTGGCTCGGAAATATTTCTGGTGTGCGGAGGGTGGTCTGGTGTGCTAGATGCGAATATGAGTAGGCAGGTTGCGGGGGTGCGAGACTAGCATTGCCGTTGTCATCTGCAGAGACCTATTGATGGACACGAATCAGAGCCGTCCCTATAGCAGCCTCCTGACAAAGGTGGACGTGAAGTACGGAAACTATGGCTTCTTCTCCTTCTACAGGTGCCAGGTAAACAGCCGTCCATTCACGTGACTTAAAACAATGAGTTCTACTTAATTGAATACTCATGCATGGGCTGCTTATGCGATGATGAGCCGGATACCTATCACGTAACTCATGAAGCTGCCATATAGATCCTACAGTTTGAGGCAATAGATGCCGATGTATTTATTCAGCCAGTATAACGTATGTTGTTGTTGTTGTTGTTGTTGTCGACGTTGTGCAGGCGTTGCTGTCGTATAGATCAAACAGCTCAAGGCAATACATGCCGATGTGTTTATTCAGCCACTATAACGTACATTGATCTTGTTGTTGTTGTTGTTGTTGTTGTTGTTGTTGGTGTTGTTGTTGTCGTTGTAGTCGTCATTACTGTTGTTGTCGTCGTCGTCGTTGTTGTTGATGTCGTCGTCGTCGTCGTTGTCGTCGTTATTGTTGTCGTCGTCGTCGTCGCTGCTGTGCAGGCGCTGCTGTCGTGTACATTCATGCAACTGTAGTAGTAAGGCGTATTCATTCACTCAGCCGGCACGTACGTAACACGCAGGCTGATCTGTTCTCCGCCCCCGTTGTTATACGCCAGGTGATTCATCTGAAGGGACGCGACATGTACGTGCTGTTCACGCAGTGGGGTCGCATCGGCTCACGCTACGACTCGCAGCACCAGAAGACGCCGTTCCCGGCCGCCGAGGACGCCATCAAGGAGTTCTGCAAGGTCTTCAAGCAGAAGACGGGCAACGACTGGAGCGCCCTCGCCACGTGAGTTGCCGTCGCCGCGGCGACCTGCGGCGGCCGCTGCGCCGTAGAGTAGAGCATTGCACTGCACATTAAACGCGTGTTGCATCTTGCAATAGTGGATGCTGCACCATACAGTAAAGCTTTGCAGAATAATGTGCATTACACCATGCAATGATGGACACTGTTGTGCAATAAAGCATTGCACTGAAGAATAATGTGTATTGTACTGAGCAGTAGTGGAGTTTATACCATAGAATCTTGCACCATGCAGTGGTGGACACTTACGTAGAATAAAGCATTGCCTTGCACATTAACGTGTGCTGCACCTTACAATAGTGGACACTATGCTGTAGAATCTTAGCATTCTACTGAACAATAATGTGTGCTACACCTTGCAATAACGGAGTCTACGCCGTAGAATACAATTGCACAATACAACCTCGGTGATGCTGCGACGCGCGATAATGGCAGCGCCGGCGAGCTCACGATGCTGTTTCAGGTTCGAACGTTCGTTTGTTTCAGGTTTGAGGCGCAGAAGGGAAAGTACCGGCCGCTGCGACTTGAGACGCGGAAACGCGCGCGCGCTGGGCGCCGCTTCAAGGTCGACCTGCAGTCCAGCGTCAATTCCAAGCTGCCGCAGACCTTGCAGGAACTCATGAAGGAGCTGGTGAGAGGGGCTGCTGCAGGGTCACGATGTGGGGACGCGCGCGTGGGTGGCGGGGAAGGGGGGGGGGCGATTGATAGTGGTGGTGTGTGTGTCTGTGCGTGGGGGGTGGTGGCAGAGGTTGGCGTGGGCAGTGGCGTCGCAAGGTGGCGAGGAAGAGGGGGAATATTGGGAGGGCTGCTTCAAGGCTGCCGCAGACCTTGCAGGAACTCGTGAAGAAGCTTGTGAGAGAGACAGCTGCGGGGTCACAATGTGGGGGTTGCGCGCATGGGGTGGTGGTGGTGGACCACATGTGGTTGCCATTTTTATTGTTGTTATGCACATGTTGCTGCTGGTGTTTCTGCTGTTTTTGTGGGTGATTGTTGTTCTATATGACCATCATGTTAATTGAGATTAATCGCACAATGTTGTGTGCTTTTCCAGACGAATGTGCGATCGCTGGAATCGGCCTACAAATCTTACAAGGTCAACGAGAATCTTCTGCCTTTTGGCTATTTGCCAAAAGATGTTATAAGCCAGGCCCGAGATATCTTGGAGAAGCTAGCGTAAGTTTTCTCACTCCAATGTTGCTTTTTCGCTTGCTGTCTTGCGGTAAGCTGCTCCGTAAAGCTTCGGATGGATTTTCGTTAGTTGTGAGCAGGGTGATGTTACGATTGTGTCTACGACTTCACTTATTGCCAGTCATGCTACAATCACCACCAGGTCGATGCGCTATGTTTTACAGACTGTTTACTGTCTACAAGGCTGTGGATCTTTTAGCTGAATATGATAGCCGAACGAACAGATATTTCAGGGTAGAGACGATGTGCCGTTTAACAAAACTTGAGCTACTATTGATGTAATCTATGTATTCTATCTAATATTGTAATATATGCGTTCACATCAATGTTTTTTTGGCACTTAGTTGTTGTTTTTTTAATTAATAAAAAAGATATTAATAAAATAAATACAAATAAAATTGTGAATTTTCACCCAATGGTTAACCCTGTCCGGATTACAAACTCTGTCATCACTGCATTTGTTAGCCTCCTGCAGGCATCACTAATTAAGGCATTTCAGGCATAATCACGCCTTACTGCTATAGAAATCCTTATCTTTTTCGTGCACTGGAATAGACGCAGACACAGTTTCTACGCTGCGACAGAAAGCAATCATGTACGCTATTCAGCATCTGTTCCTAGTCCTATTCTCACGAGGAGAGAGGAACTAAGAGAGAAGCATGCATCTATTAAACAGGCATCTATCGTCTGCTAGAGCGTCGTCGGATGACGCCTCGTGATGTTATTCTCGGCACGCGAGTGCATGTTGATTCATGGCTTCTTGTTGCTGCAGAGCTAACATCGAGGCAAAAGACAAAGCCCTGGAGAACTCGATGGAGGCTGATTCAGCTGAGAAGCACTACAAGGCCATGGAACAGGTAGACAGCTAATGCTGTGACCCCCCTCCTCGCCGTCCTGTAGTGTTAGTCCTAGTTATACCTGTTAACTTATTTGCATGCCGGCCTGCCCGCCCGTTAGCCTACACTTACCTGCCTACCTGCTTGCTTTCCTGTCAGATACCTCTGCCAACCCACCCAGCTGCCTACCTGCTTGCCTGCTTGCTTTCCTACCAGGTATCTCTGCTAATCCACCCAGCTGCCTGCCTGCTTAAGTTTCGGACAGCCTCACCTACCCTTTTACCATCTCACTTATGTCGCCGAAATGATGGGTCATGGTGCTTGCTGAAATGTGGCATTATTTCTGTGATTCTCCCATTTAGCATGTGTGTGTGCGTATGTGCGTGTAATAAGTGTGTAAAATAATGAATATATTTACTACTAAATAATTACTATATTTCACGTAATAAACTAATACTTACTTAACTTACTTACTTAATTTACTTTCTATATATTAATTAATATTTTAATTTTGCATTAATTAAACAAGAAATGATTTGAAAGTGAAAACTGCGTTTTTCGCAGATCCACGACCTGTCCAACGAGTACTACTACCTGATTCCGCGTGCCGACTTGACACACACATGCTGCCGCCCATCGACAACGTCAAGGTGCTGCGGCAGATCTCGACCTGTGTCGCAACCTGCTGGAGATCGACATGGCGACGAAGCTGCTGGTCGCGGCCCAGCATCGCAAGAACGGTGCGTGCATGCGTGCAGCGATGACGGGGGAGGGGCAGGTTTCACTGTGATGCAGTGTTGCAAAGCGTAGAATTGCTAGAATAACTTAAATTGACTACGTCACGAATTTTCTATGGTAAAATATGTAAGCAAAATTTGTTGCCATTTTTTTTACATTAAAAGTAAGAACTAACGGGACTAAATGTATCGTCAAATTCTTACCTGATAAGATTGTTTCTCACTAGTTAAAAATCCAAAACAACCTGGACGATTTTGACTGTTGTGTTCCTGACATAATTGCTTGCTATGGGCTATGTATGAGTCACGAGTGTATGTTCACACTCGAACAATATAGTAAAATAAGAGCATAATGCAGCAATTTAACCATAAAAACGTGAACAGAATTACTTATATTTTGTGAAAAAGTGAAATATTTTTTTATTTTTAAATTATTTACGGACGTAATCATTTTAACATAGCAAGAGGGGTGTGTGCAGCGATGACGGCGAGATTATAGGGTAACGAAGGAGTGGCAGTTTTGCTGTGTTGCAGTGTTGCATAATCGTAGCATAATAATATATATCGTGTAGCATTGGTCGATATGAAAATGGGTTGAATTTTCACTGCGACACAGTATAGAGTTTCTAGCTTAGTTTAGCATAGCAAGGAGATGTGCAGGAATCAGTGGTGAAAGAGGGCAGGTTTCACTGTGATGCAGTGTAGCATAGCATAGTGTAACATAGGGACAGGGCGTTAGGCAATGCAAAACGGTGCTCAAGTCTCACCACGGCACATCCTATAGTTAGCATAACATAGTGCCTTATAGCATGGCATAGCATAGCAAGAATGCACATCGAAAAAACTGACGGAAGCGACCGTTCTACGAAAACATTGACGCGCGTTTAAAAAACTCATCTCCGTCGCTCTCTCACATCGCAGAGATCTGCCCGCGTGGATTACGTCTACCGCTGCCTGGAGCGCAGTAGAGCTGCTCGACTGGAAGGTGGCTGAGGCGCAGTAATCCTCCACACTACCACAACACGATGCGTACGTATCGCGGCGCGCCACCCACGCGGCCGTGTGATTTTATTTTCGTTATCTAAGTTTCTTCAGTCTACCTCTGGCCTACCCTGTCTACCTCTGGCCTACCTTGACTACCTCTGGCCTACCCTGTCTATACCTCTGGCCTACCCTGACTACCTCTGCTGACTGATTGCAGCCAAGTGTGCAGTGGAGGCGATCGACCCAAACCCTCTCACTCTAAGCCCTGCCTTTCAGTCTATCCTCTGGCCTACTCTGACTATCCCTAGCCACCTTTCAGTCTCACCTCTGGCCTACTCTGACTATCCCTAGCCACCTTTCAGTCTCACCTCTGGCCTACTCTGACTATCCCTAGCCACCTTTCAGTCTCACCTTCTGGCCTACCTCTGACTATCACTAGCCACCTTTCAGTCTCACCTTTGGCTACTCTGACTATCCCTAGCCACCTTTCAGTCTCATCTGGCCTACTCTGACTATCCCTAGCCACCTTTCAGTCCTCACTCTGGCCTTCTCTGACTATCCCTAGCCACCTTTTCAGTCTCACCTCTGGCCTATCTCTGACTATCCCTAGCCACTTTTCAGTCTTCACCTCTGGCCTACTCTGACATCCCTAGCACCTTTCAGTCTAACCTCTGCCTCCTGACTACCTCTGCCCATTCCCTAAGCTACGGCTTTAGTCTAATCTCTAGCCTACCCTGACTGACGATCTCTGCTGACTCATTGCAGCTAAGTGTGCTGTGGAGCGGTCTACCGCCGTGAGTCGCGCGCGGGGAGCGGGAGAAGCTGAAGCGTGCGGATCTGAACAACCACGCGATGCTGTGGCACGGCACGCCCGTCGCCTAACATGCTGAGCGTGCTCAAACGCTCGGGCTGCTCATTAGCGCCACCTGGCGCCGCCATCTCGGGACACTCTGTTCGGAAAGGGCGTACGCGTGTGTGTGGTGTGTGTGTGAGGGGTGGGGTGGGGGGGGGGTTATTGTGTGTGTAAGTTCCGGTGTGTCCTGGCTGCCGTCCGTGTTTGGCCTGTCTGGCTTTCTGGATTGTGTGCTTGCCATCTGTGCCTGAATGCTTGTTGTCTGCCTGATTGCCTGCCTGTGTGGTTATACTGTCCATCTGCCTACCTGTTGCTTACATGCCTGCCTGGCTGCCTGGTGCCTGCCTAATGGCCTACCTGCTTGCTAAACTATGTGGCCTGCCTCAGCCATTTGCTTACCAGCCCACAACAGCCCGCTTGACGACCTACATACAACTTCTCACTTGTTTTGCTGCCATCTCAGTATTTCCAGTCCATTCATTTACCTGCCAGTTCGCTTCGCACCCCAATGCAACATTCCTCGCAACTTGGCAAACGTCCTCCTTGGTTGGTTATTGTCTCTGGCACTGTCCTCGTCCCATTTGCGAACCACGTTGGCTGAACAGCGCGCTCGTCTCAGCTCGTGCAGAGTGACGTCGTTGTCAGCGGTCAGTATCGCCTCGTCTGTTGCTGCTTGCAGGGTGTATATTCGTCACGTCGCTCAGGGCTTACATGAGTTATATGAATATATGGTTGCAGGGCATATATCGGCGGCGTGGTATATATGATGTATGCTTGCAGGGCATATATTCGGCTGGACGTGGTATATATGCAATATGTGCTTGCAGGGCATAATTCGGCGGACCGTGGGTATATATGAATATGTGCTTGCAGGGCATATATTCGGCGACGTGGGTATATATAGACATATATGCCTATGCCAGGGCATATATTCGGCAGACGTGGTATATATGAATATGTGCTTGAGGGCATATATTCGGCGGACGTGGGTATATATGAATATATGGTTGCAGGGCATATATTCGACAGACGTGGGTAGATATGAATATATGCTTGCAGGGCATATATTCGACAGACGTGGGTAGATATGAATATATGCTTGCAGGGCATATATTCGGCGGACGTGGGTATATCATGAATGTATGCTTGCAGGGCATATATTCGGCGGACGTGGGTATATATGAATCTATGCTGCAGGGCATATATTCGGGCGGACGTGCGGTATATCATGAATATATGCGTTTGCAGGCGCATATATTCGGCAGACGTGAGGTATCTATATGAATATGTGCATTGCAGGGCATATGTTCTCGGCGGACGTAGGGGTATATATGGAATAGTTATGCTTCCCAGGGCATATATTCGGCGGACAGTGAGGATATATATGAATATGTGCTTGCAGGGCATATATTCGGCGGACGTGGGTATATCATGAATATGTGCTTCGCGGCCATACTATTCGGCGGACGTAGGGTATAATATGAATACTATGGTTGCAGGGCATTATATTCGACAGACGTAGGTAATATGAAATATATGCTTGCCAGGGCATATATTCGGACAGACGTGGGTACATATGAATATATGCTTGCCAGGGCGTATATTCGACAGACGTGGGTATCATATGAGATATCTTCGTTGCTTGCAGGGCATATTTCGGCGGACGTGCGGTATATATTGAATATATGGTTGCAGGCATATATTCGACAGACGTGGGGTAGATATGCAATATATGCTTCGCAGGGATATATTCGGCAGACGTGGGTATATATGAATATGTGTCCTGCAGGGCATATATTCGGCGGACGTGGGTATATATGAAATATATGGTTGCAGGCATTATATTCGACAGACGTGGGTAGATATGAAATATATGCTTGCAGAGGCATATATTTCGCACAGACCGTGGGGTAGATATGAATATATGCCTTGCAGGTGGCCGTAATATTCGACAGACGTGGCGTAATCATGAGTGTATGCCTTGGCAGGGCATCATATTCGGTGGACGCGTGGTATATATGAATGTATGCTTGCAGGCATTATATTCGGTGGACGTTGGCGGGTATATATGAATGTATCGGTTGCAGGGCAATTTTCGGCGACGTGGGTTATATATGAATATATGCATTGCAGGGCATATTATTCGGCGGAGCATGGTATATATGAACTTTATTGGGCTTGCAGCGGCATATATTTCGGCGGACGTGGTATATCATGAATATATGGTTGCAGCGGCATATACTTCGGCAGACTGTGGTATATATGAATATACGCTTGCAGTGCAATGGCATATATTCGGCGGACGTGGGTATATCATGAATGTACTGCTTGCAGGCGCATATATTCGGCAAGACGTGTGGTATATTTGAATGTATGCTTGTCAGGGCATAATATCGGCGGACGTGGGAGGTATATAATGAATGGTAGCTTGCAGGGCATATATTCGGCGGACGTGGCGTATATATGGTAAGTGATATGCTTGCAGGGCATATATTTCGGCGGGACCTGGGTAATCTAT